AGACCCCAGCTCCTACTCAGCTCACTTCCCACAACACCCCTCCGCTCCCCTAGTCCAACCCTGCTCTCAGAGAGGAGACTGGAGGATTCTTCATGAGAATCATGTTGGGTCCAAGAGAGAAGACAGGGGAGCTTCCCCAAGGAAACGTCCCCACATCAGCTGCGGCGAAGCTGCCTCCACTCCACACAGACTGGAAGCACTAGATGTTCGAGAGAAGCCCCTGATGCAAAATGCACCAAATCAAACCAAACCACCAAAGAGGGGAACTCAGCAAAGCCAGGCAGAAAGCAGAAGAAAAGTTCTCAAGAAGGAAAAAGCATTGCCTCTATGGAATGAGAACAGGAGGCTCTGAAATAACTAGAATATACGAAAACACTGTGAGTAGGTGAATATGTTAAGAGTGGGGGTTGGGGAATCCACATTTCTTTTGAAAGATTGTTGAGGAAATCTGGAGGAGGGGAACAAAAAGCTAAAGGTATGGAAATAAAGAATATAGTCATGGGCTGGCGCTGTGGCGCAGGTTAACACCCTAGCCTGAAGCACCGGCATCCCAAAGGGGCACCAGTTCGAGATCTGGCGGCTCCACTTCTGATCCAGCTCTCTGCCATGGCCTGCGAAAGCAGTAGAAGATGGCCCAAGTCCTTGGTCCCTGCACCCATGTGGGAGACCGGAAGAAGCTCCTGACTCCTGACTTCGGATCTGCGGAGCTTCGGCCGTTGCGGCCAATTGGGGAGGGAACCCTTGGATGGAAGGCTCACTAGGCTAATCTTCCACCAGCGGCGCTGGCGCCCCGGGTTCTAGTCCCAGTTGGGGCGCCGGATTCTGTCCCGGTTGCCCCTCTTCCAGGCCCGCTCTCTGCTGTGGCCCGGGAGTGCAGTGGAGGATGGCCCAAGTGCTTGGGCCCTGCACCTGCATGGGAGACCAGGAGGAAGCACCTGGCTCCTGGCTTCAAATTGGCGCTGCGCACTGGCCGCAGCAGCCATTTGGGGGCTGAACCAGTGGAAGGAAGACCTTTCTCTCTGTCTCTCTCTCTCTTTGTCTAACTCTGCCTATAAAAAAAAAAAAAGAAGAAGAAGACCTCTCTCTGTCTCCCTTCCTCCCTCCCTACCTCTCCTCTCTCTGTGTAACTCTGACTTTCAAATAAATAAATCTTTTTTTAAAAAGTATATAGTCATAATGTAAAGGAGAAGAAAATATAAGACAGATGTTATAGAAAGAGAGAACCAAGAGAATCATTAAAGATTACTGAAGAAAGAACAGGCATTTAACCCAGCAGTGAAGATATCCACATCCTATACAGAGTGCCTGGATTAGATTCCTGGCTCTGGCTCCTGACTCCAGCTTCCTGCTAATACATACCGTAGGGCAAAGGTAATGGTTCAAGCACGTGGGTACCTGACTCTTCTATGGGACCACCAGTAATAGCACTTGGAGTCACTCGAGAACTTACTAAATATGTAAATTCTTACCTCCCAGCTCCATATCTAATAAGAAACTAGAGGTAGAGCTCTGAAACCATGTTCTAACCAGACTTCCAGGTGACTCTGATACGCGCTGAAGTTTGAGAATGATTAGCTTAGGGCACAACCACGGTCTGACTGCAGGCCCATTCATTTCCCTGCTCAGCGGAAGGAGACAGCGTCAAGGTTACTGTGGGGCGGCGCAGGAAGTGGCATAGGTTGCTTTCACTTGCATTCATGTGGCAAAGCCTCGCTCCACGGAGGAGTTGGGAAATGCAATCTTACTACGTGTTACCTACGATGTTATCACAATGGAAGAAGGAAGGAACAGATTTGGGAGGATGAACCGGAGTTTCCACCACATGTATAATCCAGGCAACAGGGACCCTAATGCAAGGAAGCAGCGAAGATAAATCCTGGGATGATGTCGCAGGGACTCCCAGAATGTCCTCCTTCCAGGACTGGAGCTGTAAATCAGGCCACGGAGCAACCCGTCGGATGGAAACAGGAAAGCTGAAAAGCCGTATCTGAATGTACTGACAGGAGATTTTTGTGGCTGAATTAATAATAGGTATATAGAGAACTACACAAAATACAAAAACGGAACTATGTATTCATTCCAGGGAAAACAAAAGGTTGAATGAGAAAGGAAACATAATTATAGGATTCTATGTGGCTTACCTGGGAATAATATTTACATAGTCATAATGTAAATATTTCATGTTGATTTAACCAAAAAGGGGGGTGATGTAACTATATTGGGAGCATGAACAGAGGAAAAGTGTATGCAGTCCAGTTTATTTTTTTATTTTTCTTCCCAGAAACTTTTTATTTAAGGTATACAAACTTCATAAATTTCATAAATACAACTTTAGGGAAATAGTGATTTTTTCCTACCCTGCCCATCCTCCCACCCACACTCTCACCCTTCTTCCTCCTCCCTCTCCTATTCCCATTCTTATTTTTTACTAAGATCTATTTTCAATTAACTTTATACACATAAGATTAAACCTACAGTAAATAAAGTGCTCCTCTTCCATTCCAGCTCTCTGCTGTGGCCCGGGAGGGCAGTGGAGGATAGCCCAAGTCCTTGGGCCCTGCACCCGCATGGGAGACCAGGAAGAAGCACCTGGCTCCTGGCTTCGGAGAGGTGCAGCACCGGCCATCGCGGCCATTTGGGGGGTGAACCAGTGGAAGGAAGACCTTTCTCTCTGTCTCTCTCTCTCACTGTCTAACTCTGCCTGTCAAAAAAACAAAAAGAGTTCAACAAATAGTATGAAATAGTATGAAAAGAAAAACCTCAACAGTTGAGACAAGGGCTGTTCAAAGTCATCACATCTCAAAGTGTCCATTTCACTTCTACAGATTACCTTTTAGGTGCTCTATTAGTTACCACAGGTCAGGGAGAACATATGGTACTTGTCCTTTTGGGACTGGCTTATTTAACTAAGCATAATGTTTTCCAGTTGCATCCATTTTGTTGCAAATGACAGGATTTAATTTTTTAAGCTGCTGTGTAGTATTCCATGGTGTGTACATATCACATAACTTCTTTGCAGGCCAGTTTAATGCTGATAATAGACAATGTTTATATATACAGTACTGACTATATTATTCTGAGCGCCCTATAACATTCAACTCTTAATCCTAGTGATCACTCTATGGTGATGATCTATTATCATCCATTTTACACATGAAGAAACTGAGGCCTACAGCAATTAAGCAGCTTGTCAAAGTCACATAACCAGTAAATTCTGGAGAACTCAGATTTAAACCCAGGTAATTGCTCTCCCGAGTCTGTGCTCCCTCTACTATGCTATATAGTCTCACTTTCCATAGTGCGAAGCCAAATGACTGTATTTAAAGTCAGTAAACCAATTAAAACAGGATATGCATGTTATTTATAAAGAAATACATAACTACCAAGAAGAAACAGATAAAAGAGTTGACAGAGGGAAACTGGGAGTGGTCAAGAGATTGCTATGATTCTTGCATAACAATCTTTTAAAAAAATCACTTTGATCAAAAGAGATGTGATAGAAATGATATGCCTGGCTAAGTGAACCTAGAAAATAGAAACAGAGGGGTCAGTGATGTGGCATTGCAGGTTAAGCTGCTGCCTGTGGCTACAATATATTCATCTCATATGGGCTCTAGTTCAAATCCCCGCTGCTCCACTTCCAATCCAGTTCCTGCCAATGCTCCTGGGAAAGTAGTGAAAAATGGCCCAAGTCCTTGGGCCCCTGCACCCACGTGGGAGACCCGATGAAGCTGCTGGCTCCTGGCTTCAGCCCTGGCCCTTGCAGCCATTTGGTGAGTCAATCAGCAGATGGAAAATTCTCTCTCTCTCTCTCTCTCTCACTCTGGCTTTCAAATAAATAAGTAAATTAATCTTTTTTAAAAAAGAAAATGAATGAGGGGGACCCAGAAGAGTAGGTTAAAAAGACCCTAATGGGTAAATAATGTAAGAAGAGAGACAGGTTGCCACAGAGAAGTGGAAACAAAAGGATAATACTCCTGGAGACATGGCAAGCAGACAATGAGAGAGCCAGAGAGAATGAGAAGGGAAGAGGTTGAGTAAGACTGGGCGGAGCCTCCTCTTCTGCACATTTGCCATGGGGCTGGGAACCCAGAAAGACAGTCACATCATGGGGACCTGAGGGCAGAGTCATGGGAGTGACAGGGGCTTTATGAAGAGTGGCTTGATCCTGGCCTCTGCCATGACACTCCTTCTTCCTCAGTGGCCAAGCCAGCTTTGGATTTAAAACTGAGTTAGGCGTTGGTACTACCAAGCCCTACCAAGATGACAGAAAATCCCTGCTTCTGTGTCAATATCAGCCACTCCAAAGGCACGCATCAAACAGGTGCATCCACTCTGGGTCTCAGTTGTTTTCCAAACGTATAACAAAGCACACGTATGCACAGCGCATCCCACCTCTCAAAGCCATTTTTCATTTCCCATTTCCCTGAGCCTTTTTTTTCCCAGGTGGTAAAACGAAGTGCATGGCAGAACCTGAATTCTAGTTTTACACTTAATTCACTTCTCTTCGTAAGCAGTGTCTCAAGGAGGAACCAGAGAACCGTGCGAAGCAACAACTACATATAAAGCATATACCCCACGACTCCTGGCTCCTGCACAGACACTAATTGTGAGCCAATGGGACAACACAGGTAAGAGAGAGAAGCGATCGCTGCTCGGGACAAGCCGGCCTGAGTGGGGTACGCATCCTCCCCCACAGCCCGCTCTCAAATACTCTGTCGGCTTTGCAGAACATGCGTCTGCCTGAGGGTCTGACTTGGAAACTGGGATCACAGGAATGAATAGTAACCGCCGAGACTGAGCGTGCTGAGTCCCGCTGGTGGATTCACGAGCAGAGGGAGGAAGAAGGAAGTTAAGAGGAGGCCAGGCTGAGGACAGCGGCGCCCACACGGCCCTGCCCGAGCAGCCCCTGCAGCCCCACGCCCACCCCGGCAGTCCCGGGGCTGCTCCGCCCTCCCGGCCGGCGGAGGCCTCAGGCCCACTCGGCTCCGTGTGGATACCTTGCAGCTCGCACGGGATTTCTTCCGAACGCCTCCCTCCGCGAGGAAAGAGCCGGGCCGCCCGGGAGTCGGGACCGCGGCTCAGGCTCGGTGGCTCCGCGCAGCCTGCGCCGCCCACCCTGCGCCCTGCGCCCTGCGCCCTGCACCCTGCACCCGGCCCGGCCCGGCGGGGTCGCCGCCCCGGAGCTGCAGCGAGGCTGCGCCGCCGACTTCCTGTGGAGGCCGAAGCCCAGCGCCCGGGTCCGAGGCCCGCAGGCCCCTTCCAGACCCCGCTCGCTGCCCCCCACCGCCCCTTCAACAGGGGGACGCTGACAAGTTGAATACGGCGGGAATAACAGCCATTTGTTCTGGTTATCCCTGCCGGTATTGAAGCCAGATGTGTGCCTCGCTGACATTGACATGGTACATCTGGCTGGGTTTTTGGTTTCCATCGCGGAGTTTACCACATCCACCCTCGTCTGCTGGAAGACAGGGGGGCGAACATCTGGAAGTCATTGCAGCTGTCACGCTTCAAGGGGATCCTGTACCACAGAGAGGAGAATTCAATACGTAACGGAGCAAAATTAGCCAGCTCGTCTTGTCAGTCCAGATTTTAAACACATGCAGCAAAATGGCGGCTCTGCTATGGCGCCTCCTCCCTCTCACTCCTGCGGGCTCGGGAGCTCGGGAGCCTCGCCTTATCAGTAGACAAGACCTGGCTGTAAGGTCTTGTTCACCGCGGAGTTTCCGAATCCTGGGTAGGCAGGGCTAAAATTAGGCTCTTCCTGTTGTCCTACTGATCCCAGTTTGCTAGAAGTTTCAATTAAACATCAATTAGACTTTCTCCAACCCTCTTCCCTTCATACTTTCTCCTTCCAGGGCATCATTCAATGCTCCACCCTACCCTATCCGTTCAGCTCTGTCTCCTATTCCTTCCCTAAGGCAAATACTTACTGTTCTTCAAGACTGAAATAAAGTCAAGCTTATCCTGACCTTGAACTTTGCGCCTGCCTGGAAGCTGCCATTCTCTTTAGGTCAATCCACGTCGTTTCAACCCTTCCAGGTCCACCCCAAGTTTATTTTTCCTCAGTGAAGACCAACGTGAGCTCTCAAATGTCCACTGATCTTCCCCTCTGTGTGTTTCCCTGGTTTAGTAGGGTACTTCAAAAAATTCATGGAAAATGGAATTGGATGAAGTTTAGGCTTGGTGCAGAAATTGACATCCATGCATACTTTTTTCCTGATGCACATTTTCCATTTGCTTTTTTGAAAACCCCTATTTTCCACGAAAAGGAAATATATGTATCAGTAGCCCATGTTGTGTGTTGAGGTATATTAAGCTTTCCATAAACCTGTGTTGAATGAAAGCATGAATTGTGTTTTCTTATCACCTATTCTCTTCACATAATTTTCTTGTTATCTACTTTACCCTTCCTGGCAAGACTCAATTCCATGTGTAATGTGTCCTGAACAGTTTGGAAAGATAGCCCTAAAAATTTACTACAATAATAATAATACCTGAAGGATTCCAGAAATTGGAAATTCCATTAATTTGGAGTTCTACTTGCTATCATACATCCATAACTGATTTTTTAAAAGTGAAGTGTAACAGAAAGAGAACAAGGTTACAGTTCAGGAGATCTGAAACTTGTTCCCAAGAGGGTTCCTGACATACTTGATGATCTTAGATAATCACCTTCTTTCTATCTCTAGTCTCCCTGTGTAAGAGGAAAGCGGTGTGGCCAATGGCTTCTTCGTGGCAGTGGGCAGAACTGGGGGCACCTTCCTGAGAAAAGATAGGTTCCTGTCAGTGCTTTTCCCGCCCAGCACCCAATCAACATGCTTACACAAATGACTTGGAGGACGCGCAGAGTAAGGAAGGGACATGAGTAGCTGCACGACTTCGTCTTTGCAGATGCCTAGCATTTCCAACATCAGGACGAGCCATTGCAGCAAGTGCTGGGAAAGACCAGGCAGCCCAGGCACTGACAGACTCTCTCCGGTATTGTCCTGCCTCTGTGCAATGATGGAGATGCAAAGCCCCCTGCTCTAGCCTTGCTATATGTGATGGGGAAGAACACAGGACAGAGGGGCCGGTGCCGTGACACAGGTTAATCCTCTGCCTGCAGCGCTGGCATCCCACTTGGGCACCGGGTTCTAGTCCCGGCTGCTCCTCGCCCAATCCAGCTCTCTGCTGTGGCCTGAGAAAGCAGTAGGAGATGGCCCAAGTCTTTGGGCCCCTGAACCCACATGGGAGATCAGGAAGAAGCTTCTGGATCCTGGCTTCAGATTGGTGCAGCTCTGGCCATTGCAGCCATATGGGGAGTGAACCAATGGAAGGAAGACCTTTCTCTCTGTCTTTTCCTCTCACTGTCTGTAGATATTACCTCTCAAATAAATAAATACATTCTTTAAAAAAATAAAAAAAGAACACAGGACAGAAATAAAGGAGAGGATCCCGATGGAAGGCGGTGACCATGGAAGAAAATAAAGTATGTCTGGTGGGCTGGCTACCCAGCCAAGAGGATGTTTAGCTTCCATGGCAGAAGGCCATGTAGCAAGTTAAGAAGGGAATAGTGGGCCGGTGCGGCAGCTCACTAGGCTAATCCTCTGCCTAGCGGCGCCGGCACACCGGGTTCTAGTCCCGGTCGGGGCGCCGGATTCTGTCCAGGTTGCCCCTCTTCCAGGCCAGCCCTCTGCTGTGGCCAGGGAGTGCAGTGGAGGATGGCCCAGGTGCTTGGGCCCTGCACCCCATGGGAGACCGGGAAAAGCACCTGGCTCCTGGCTCCTGCCATCGGATCAGTGCGGTGCGCCGGCCGCAGCGCGCCGGCCACGGTGGCCATTGGAGGGTGAACCAAAGGCAAAGGAAGACCTTTCTCTCTGTCTCTCTCTCTCTCTCACTATCCACTCTGCCTGTCAAAAAAAAAAAAAAAAAAAAAAAAAAAAAAAAGAAGGCAATAGTGTTGACAGGCCCAGGGTTCCAGTCTCTGCTGTCTGTGTAGGTAGGTACATTTTCCTCTCTGGTCCCCAACTACGAAATGTAGGACTTGGATGAAATGATCGCTAAGGTCTGTGAACTCTTATATAACTCATTTAGAACCTACTTTGCATCCAGTTCAGTTTCAGATGAAACTCCAAGGGGCTGGCATTGTGGTGCAGTGGGTTAACTTGCCACTTGCACACTGGCATCCCATATCCAAGTGTTGGTTTGAGCCACGCTACTCTGCTTCCAATTCAGCTTCTGGCTAATGCGCCTAGGAAGCTAGCAGAGGATGGCCCAAGTGCTTGGGCCTTGTACCCAGATAGCAGACCAGATGGAGTTCCTGGATCTTGGCTTTGGCCTGGCCTCAACTAGCCTGTTGTAGCCATTTTGGGAGTGAGCCAGCAGAGGGAAAATGTCTCTCTCCCTCTCCCTCTCCTTCTCTGTTGCTCTGCTTTTCAAATAAATAAATAAATAAATCTTTCTTATAAATAAACTCCAAATCCCTATACTAGTTCGTCCTCAGTGCATGGGGCTCTAAGACACCCTCCCGGAAGGGAACTTTGGGCATTAAACTCCTGAAATCTTTTGCTTCATTCCTTCGAATGGAAGAAGAAACTTTTTCTCCTTCTCCCAGAGAATGGTTGCAGCAGGAAAATTGCAGATTAGTGACCTAGAAAACCTTCCTTAAATGGAAAAGGTACTTAATTAAACTCCATTAAATCATAACTCCTGGCTTCTATTTTTGGCCTCTTACGACTGAGATCAGAATTGAATCATTTCACCATTCCCGGGGCTGTTGAATCAGAAGCGGCTGAGCTCTGAGGAACAACCTGCTAACCTCCACTGCACCCACAGCCACCCTCCTTCCTGTCCGATCATTCCTAGGCGTGTCTGAGTCCTCAGGAGACAAGATGGTCATTTCCAGTTTGTCTTGGTTTATGAGCAATTCGGCAGTTTGGCTAACTACTGAAGAGCCAGGACCATATCATCCTCTCATAAAAAGCTAATAAAAAAGGCTATTGATGCAGCCCATTAGCTGGAGGAGAATGAGAGGTTATGTAACGGGTATCTGAGTGGAGAGGCCTTGAGCTCTCTAGGAAGAGCTCACGCTGCACCCAGGGTCACATCAAAAAGGAAGTTGGTGTCTTTCTGCTCACAGGTGCAGGGCTTTAAGCATCTTGCCCCTTCCTGAGCTATTCTGTCTCGAGTGTGCTTCTTGTTCTCCGTATAAAATGCCTCTCTCCACACTCACTCCAAGGACACTTCTCTGATATCTCTGCACTGTGCTCTCCTATGGACAAAGCACTAGAAGCCTCCATGTTCGTGGCAAACAAAGTGCTCGGAACTGCAGGGGAGGTACTCAGGTCGGCTTTACACGGAGTTGAGCAATCTGAGTGGTTCCAAAGAGGCCCTCCTTTCTCAAACAAAACAAAAACAAAAACAAAAAGCAGCCCTGTCCTTAATTCTACCGCTAGATTCCTTGGGGACCTTAAGTTTTCCATTATTCAATAGTTCTCTCTTAAAGACCCTGGAAAGGGATTATGCATGCTAAGGGCTCTTGTCTGTGCAAAGGGCTCACTGCCTTCTCTGAAGTCCTAGCATCTGCATGATTTATCTAGACTTTTCAACCAGGGACTTACTCTGTGGCCTTGGGCAAATCACCTTTCCTCTCTGAACCCCAGCTTCCCCCTTTGTAGTATGACTAAGAGAAGCTCTGCTTGGCAGCAGGAAAACTTTATCAGCCCCACAGACAAGCTCTGCCTGCAAGGACAGGGAGAGAATGCAAAGTCTGAACTATCTATATTCTATTCCAGCTCTGATCATAGGGGACCAAGCACCCTGAGATGCTGTCATCTTTCTGTACACCTTGTCTCCCTTACCTGTGTATATGGAAAGAACCATCAGGGACAATGGTCTTTGAGTCCCATCCACTGCCTAGCACTGTCCAGAGCATGAAAGGTAATGTGTCATTGGTTTAATCTTATGATCAATGTATTTCTTTAGTTATTTATTTATTGTAAAGGCAGAGTTACAGAGAGGTGGGGGGAGGGAGAGAGAGAGAGAGAGAACGTCCATCTGCTGGTTCACTCCCCAAATGGCTGCAACAGCTGGAGCTGCGCCGATCCGAAGCCAGGAACCTGGAGCTTCTTCCAGGTCTCCCACGTGGGTGCAGGGGCCCAAGCACTTAGGCCATCTTCCACCGCTTTCCCAGGCCATAGCAGAGAGCTGGATGGAAGTGGAGCAGCTGGGTCTCAAACTGGGGCCCTTATGGGATACCGGCACTGCAGACGGTGGCTTTACCTGCTATGCCACAGCAACAACCCCTCAGTTTACTTTCAATATGGCTCCAGGTGTCTCTATCAAAAGATCATTTTAAATGGAATCCATCAGAAGGAACTAGAAGAAACAGATGGATGTAGGCACCAAGGATGTTCTTCTGAGATTTTAGCAATGCATTCGACCTCAGCAGCTAAAGCACAGTAAGTCACATAA